AAGAAGACCATTAGACAGCTGCAGCTCATCCAGAACGCTGCTGCCAGGATTCTGACTAGAACCAGAAAATCTGAGCATATCACACCAGTCCTCAGGTCCTTACACTGGCATCCAGTTATATTTAGGATTGATTTTAAAGTACTTTTACTCGTTTATAAATCACTCAATGGCCTAGGATCTAAATACATTACAGATATGTTATCTGAATATAAGCCTAACAGACCACTCGGATCATTAGGATCAAGTCAGTTAGAAATACCAAGGGTTCACACAAAACAAGGGGAGTCCGCTTTTAGTTATTATGCCGCCCGCAGTTGGAATCAGCTTCCAGAAGATATCAGATGTGCTAAAACATTAGCCACATTTAAATCCAGACTCAAAACTCATATGTTTAGCTGTGCATTTAGTGAATGAGCACTGTGCTACGTCTCAACTGATTGCACTGTATTTTATGTATAATTATATGCATAAATAATTCATTTTAAATCAATTTTAGTTTATTTTAAAAGTTTTTATAATTATTTTAATTCCTTTTATGTAAAGCACTTTGAATTACCATTGTGTATGAAATGTGCTATATAAATAAACTTGCCTTGCCTTGCCTTATGGACCACTCATTCATGGGACAAAACCAAGACGTGTTTAAAATTTAAATTACAAATTTACATTGCATGGAATTATTTATAATGTATGTATATATGAGTATAGGGTGACCATACTTGCCATTTTCTCAGGACGCGTCCTGGCCAGGATTTCTATATTGCCTAAAATATCTAGGTTTTGGATTTGTTTGCGTGTGCAGACCGATCGGTGTATGACATCAAATTCTTGTTAAAGCCAAAAAGCTAAACATCACCTCTTTCATTCAAGTACAGTAAAAAAAAATTAAATAAATAAAAATAAAAATAAAAAATAAATTCCCTTCCCTGTCTCTACATGCATCATGGAGCTTTACACACACTCCTCTCAGTTTATTATTTTTGATATTATCAAACTGATTTCAGCAGTTTTGTGAAACAGAATAAAATATTTCAGACTTGGACAACCAACTAATGCCACAAAACATTCAATAAGTTCCCAAATCCATTGCTAATACTCACAAGTGTTTGTCCTGCTGATTTCCCTCCAAAATTATGTCAATTCCTGTTGATGAAGTCACATTGAAACTGCCTTTTCCTTTTTTAAAGGCATAATATATGATGGAAAGGGATATTGAGGACATGTGACATACCTAAAATATCATTATCAATTAAAACAATATTCAAAAGAAAATATGTTTTTTTAAACAACAACAAAAACATTTAACTAGAGAAAGAAAAAATATATTTAAAAAAAACATCCAAGGATATCACCAAAAACAACTCAAACCAAAGTAGTAAAATTATTTAAAATAATTTTTAAAATGTTAAGCTAATTGTGAAAACTATCTAATGTAGTTTAACAAAAAAAAAAATATATATATATATATATATATTCCCAGTTATTGAGACATATGACTGCACAGAATGACCATGAATGGTTTTTAGAGTGTTGCTGCAGACCATCTCAAGTCAACTGTGTACACAGTAGTAATGTATATACTGTAGTTTATATGCATGCTTTGTGTCCCAAGTGTTTCCCCTGCAGAAGGGAAATTATGTGTGTGCTTTTGCACTGATAATAGTCAAACCCTGATCTGAACTTAAATTGGCCAGTAAAACGATTCTGATATTTTTCAAAGAGCTGAGCCCGAACTGAAATCCTTGCCACACAGAGCTCTGAAGGACCCTGGGTTCAGATGGGCTCTAATATTTCAAATGCCTTGAGATATATTTAAAATAGGTCACTTTTGATGACCAGATATATCGTCTATGATGCTGGGATCAAAGTACACCCAGAAGCTCAGGCCAAATGTATTACCACAGCAATTGTGCTCTGATATCAGTCCAAATATACGGAGGCCTTTAATGAAGAGGATCATCTCTGATACAGGATCTATGTAAGTATCTCTCATATACAGAAGAACACAAGACTGCGGAGATCTCAGTGCATTTGAATTGATCCAAAATGTCAAGTGTTTATATAATCTCATACTGACTCTTTTCCTTTTTCCTCCCACACGCAATTTCTCTCTGTCTCTCATCGCCCATGTAGTCAGTCCTTTACTAGCAGCTCCATGTTCCTTCCAAAATAAGCTACCACTACCAAAACAAGACAACAACACTGCAGTTTGTGTTTCTCTTCCATTATGCTCAGCACACACTGCACAGCTTTGGCATGGTTTTATTTCAAGGAATCAAAAAAGTGCCGGTCTTTTTTGGCAAATGGACATCTTTTTGGCATTATTCATATTCACTCAAACCACAACACAAAATGTTCAACTCAAATGCAATCGGCCTCTTTGTTGCAGCTGTTTTTTTATGTACCTGCTTTAAATGCACAATTCTGACCATCTGACCATCAATAAAATGCACAACGTCCACGTACACTATGTTACATGTACACTATTGTTCAAAAAATTAAGGTGGTAAGATTTGACGCTCACAAAGGCTGAAATTATTTGATTAAAAATACAGCAAAATCAGTAATATTGTGAAATATTATTACAATAAAAAAGTGATCTATTTTTATCTGTTTCAAAGTGTAATTTATTTCTGTGATGGTATGTTAATTTGGTGCTCAAGAATAATTTATTATGCTGAAAACAGCTTTTTTTCAGGATTCTTTGATTAATAGAAAGTTCAAAAGAACAGCATTTATATGAAATAGAACTTTTTTGTAACAATCTAAAAGTTTTACTGTCACTTTGATCAGTTTAATGTGTCCTTGCTAAATAAAAAGTAATTGCATAAAAACATGTTTACTGACCACACACTTTTGAACAGTAGTGCATACTTGTGAAATGTATAATAATAAATAATATTAATTACATATATGTTATATAATAATATTAAATAATAATAAATATTAGATATGATATTAAATAATAAGCGTAAGTTATTATTTTAAAATAAAACGTAAAAAAATACAACCTTTAAATTAATTTTAAAATGTGTTGGAATCAGTGACAACATTGGCAGGGCAAGAAGAAATCCGCACTGAATCCTTACTGTTGAGCCTTTGTGCATAATTAAATACTGCCAGACATCAGAGCTGATGCAAACATCTTTTTTTAGTCAAACTGGAGGATGCCTGCAATAAAATATTCACTGAAACAGAATTACCATCACTTGAATAACATACAGGTAAATGTGTCTGTCTCTTTTGCTTTTTGTATCACTGCCTCAACTGATACACTTGTTCCTGTTTTACTTAAGTGGCCCAGAGGGCCCCTTTGGCTGTTTTGCTTCATCACAGTCTGCTAGAGCGAGAAACTAAAAACAAACTAATTATTTAAACACATAAACAGGCCGAGCAAAATATAACTGAAACCTGTTACGGCAACTACACTTCCCAGCAGGCCTCTGCCTCGATGCACTTTCCTGAGTCAACACATGGATGCTGAACAAACTCTTTAACCCACGGAATGGGCAGAGGGAAGGGAGGGAGGGAGAGAAAGAGAAGGGAAATGAAGAGAAAAAAAGGATAGAAGGAGGAAACGGACAGTAAACTCACACATAGTAGCCAACACCTGTCACATCAACAAACAGACAGTGTTGTTAAACGCTTAGTTGAGCACTACAGAGGCGAGTGGCTCCTTTATAAATACATGACAAGGTGTAGCATCACCTGCTCGCAGATACTGTATGTGATAAACGGCCCCAGCGTGCCTCCAACACAAAAACACCATCTGTGGCTCCACACACACACACACAAACACATTTTCAGTCAAGAAAGCAACAGGTAACTGTCTATCGAGCTTGCAGCATGATGTCAGGGAAGTTTGACACTGAACTGAACATCTGTAAATTCACTTTTAAGTCACGTTAGATAATTTATCCTAACCTTTTATTCAACTGAGCAAGTTAGCATAGGTAGCCCCTGCTGGTAGATGTTGTAATTTCACCATGTATCTTTCCCTACTGAGGTCCATTTAAAAGAAGTGGTGAATTCTGACAAAATACATCTTTTGCAACATTTAGAGAGCAAATAATTCATTGGTTGATTTTTAACCAATACCATTTCCTTTTTGGAAAGCTCTTAAAAGTGTGAAATGTACTTATAATGTCACAGCTCAGGATAATCACCAGTGAAGGGTTTGGGAGTGTGGATGTTCATTTTTTCTTCCGATTTATGATTTCTCAGACGAAAATCCATTAGAAAAGTAATAGCACATTTCTCATCTATATTCTGAAGGATTTTGGGTATCATTCATATCTGGAATGATAGCAAGGACCATTACGACTCATTTTTTTGTATGTACCATATATATTACACATTAAAATATACATTATAAAAAATATACATACATAAATTTTTTTATTATTATATGTTTATTCAGCAAGGATTCATTAAATTGCTCAAAATCGTAAAAAAAAAAAATTGTTGCAAAATTTTCCAACTCTGATAATAATAAGAAATGTTTCTTAAGCAGTAAATCAGCATATTAGGATAATTTCTGATGGATCATGTGACACTGAAGACTGGAGTAATGATACTGAAAATTCATCACAGGAATAAATTACATTTTTAAATATATTAAAATAGAAAACAATTGTTTTAAATTGTCGTAATATTTCACAATATTACTGTTTTTATTGTACTTTTGGTCAAATAAATGCAGCCTTGGTGAGCATAAGACTTTTTTCAAAAACATTTAAAAAATCTTACCAACCCCAAACTTTTGAACTGTAGTGTACGTTTCATTTAATTTCATCTGACATTGACATTTCTATCTCAGTCTCTATGAACCCCAAGAGCTTTGTGAACCTCAGATGGGAAATCCTGAATTACACCATGGAAAATTAAATGAACGTTGTAACAAGCCACCTGCCAAACTTCGATCAATAGCAGACCAGACTGCTAACAGTAAGCGGCATGCTTCAGATTCATCATGAGGAGAGGAGGCCAGAGATACTTACCATTTGGACTTTCCTCATCAATGGTGACGATAGTGGCAGGTGGACCCGACCGTGACAACTTACACTCTGTGTCAGAAACATAAAGAGAGAGAAATACAGTCATAATCAAATCTGCCACCACCTTCATCACAACACATCACTATCTGACTCACGTGAGATTACATCTACTTGATGAATACAGGAGTGTGAATTTACTGGGTGAATACGTGGAGTCATAGAAAAAGAAGTGAGAAGCATTTCATGATGTGGTAGAGGACAGAAAGCGGTCTTACCCTCATAGTGCCAGTCTGAGGGACGTTAGTGTCAGCAGCAGTGAGAAGAGAAAAGAAGAGGAGAGAAGGAAAGATACATATGAGAAGAAAGACAGCCAGAGAGAAGAACAGAACAGGGCAGTGCACCATTCAGAATTCAACTGAGAATGCCTTTTAAATTCCAATCCAATTGTTGAATTTGAGCAAACAGAGTTCAGAAATAATCAAGCAGAATTAAAATGAAATGAAATTCAAAGACATTCAATTATGCATTTAAAATCACCTCATTTTCCAACGATTCTCAAACAATTTGTGCGAAGCAGTTCTAAGATTCAGTCTCTCTAAACCCCTCCTTTCCGTGAGCCTACTCTGCTCTGATTGGTCAGATGGCCCAGTCTGTTGTGATTGGTCTACCGCATTCAGTGCGTGTGGGAAACGATACACCTATTGCCATTGTTCCATATTTTGAACGCTCTATAGAAAATATAAACATCTATTATTTATCATACTTAGGCCCAATCCCAATTCTATTTTATACCCCTTCCCCTTCCCCTTGTCCCTTGAAACAGAGTGTCAAGGGGTAGGGGTGAAAATATTCCCCTAAGAATTGGGACACCACTACTATGCCGTCACACGTCATCATACGTCGTCTAGCTCCTACAATACACACACCTATATCGGTGTGCATTAGAGCCTTTAATTATCGTTCTATATTAATGCGCTGCTTACTGACACACAAACACACACACACACATATCAGAGATCGCGAAGCTCACACAACCAGGAGCAAAGATACTTGTCAACGCTGCCCTACGACTTTTATTAATAACAGTTTAAATACTGAATCGCTACATTATATTTTCCAGCAACAAGAGGATAAAATCACTGTTTTCGACGTAAACTCACTCTAAAAAGAGAAACGCACAGACGCACATACACACAACTTTCATCTCTCTCTCTCTCTGTCTCTCTCGAATTGGCAATATTTGAGAAAAGGGTTTAGCGATTTATAATTATTGGGGGGACTAGCCCCCCTCAATGTCTATGGTGGTTATCGCCCTGATCAGACATGAAAATATGTTGTGGCACTATCGTGCAGTCTGTAATGATATGACGTTAGCAAACTTTAGCGAAAAAAATAATTTTTTGCAAACATTTCTTTGAGTAACTTGACCGTAAATATGAACTCACGATTGAAAGTAACATAAAACAAATGATTACTTTTCATTAAAAGCTTTATTAATGCCCAAAAATGCTTACATTTATGTGTCTTTTTGTTCGCTCGGGCAGCCATCTTTCCGCTGAAGCCGGTTTACACTAAGATAATTCATACCCCTTCGTTTGAAGTGTGGTCCCGAAAAATCTTCGTTTGAAGGGCTATCTGGCCCATCCCCTTACCCCTACCCCTCCAACCAAAAGAGAATCGAGTCACCCCTACCCCTTCACGTGAACGCGCGAATGGGGGAAGGGCTAAGGGGTAGAATTGGGATTGGGCCTTAGTGTAGGACACTGCATCTTCTTGACATGAACAAGCTACAGTTTTTGAGGGCGGGGTCAAGCTATTTGCGGCCGGCCAACATGGAACACAGCATTATGCAAATGTGTTACCTTGTGATGTGTAGCCGTCACAGAAGTGGGATTCAAATGACTGAGTCGATTCTTTCTTTTGGGAGACTTTATTTATCGTGCACTTTCGGTTTTACAACTTTGCAGATTTATTACATTCACATACAGCTACATTACACACTGCATGAAAGGCAATATCCGAATGTGTATAATTTTTATATTTAGCATGATGTATCTAATTAATATTAAAAGATTTAAATAAAAGTATATTAAATAATGCTGATAAATATGCCAATAATTTAATTTGAATTATTGAAAATTTTTAATCTGTTTGCATGCCAGTATTTCATTTCTTTCACAGTACTTAAAGTACAGTACGGAATTACACCACATTCCAAATATCAGGAAATTAATATGCATAAATAATCAAAATTTTGGATAAATTACTTTGTCAAAAATTTGTGAAATCTCACAAATTCTGGTCTCTGTGACTACATTAAGTTTCTTTGAATTGCAATTCAGTGAATTCCTCTTCCTGTCATTTCTGTTCAGCATCCTGTGTCTTAAAGAACTGAAAGAGAGCAATTCTGGATGTTACCAAACTTGGTACAGTAGCAGTCATCTTTCACTGAGAGACCATGACACAGCAGCCTCACACACACAAACACACTCACATCAGAGATGTCACCCACACATCAATTAGCTGTAAGTGTCTGAAGTGAATCACCTTACACACTGAGTCATGAGGGCAAGAGATGCCAGAGGATATACACACACACAGCAGATAAGGTTCCCCCTTTACCATATGTTGCCTAACTCTTCTTACGAAACTAGCACCAGCTGGCAGGTGAGAAGCAGGAGATTTTCTTCCCATTAAATATTGATCGCCTCAGGCTTTTATCCTGATCAACTAGGGGTGTGAATATTTGAGTCAACAGCGAATCGATTCAATTGACTGGCTTTCAATTCGATACATAAACAATTTTTGTAAAGTCAGTCAGAATAACTTTGTTTTTAACTCAGAATAGCGATTCCATACACTGACCTAAAATTACAGTAAGGTTCAAGTAAAGAATTTTGAGTTCTGAATGGAACTGCATATGGTAATCTATCATGATAAAACTCAACAGGTTCCAAGCTTGCTATCTATTACCCAAATAAAGGTAAATGTTGCTAACATTAATGGAAAAGCAGAGAAGTTTCAGATGCAGTATCCAATACAGCCATTTGGGCAGACAATGAAATTCTGTATGGTCTATCTCAGTAAACCTCATGGTTCATGAGGCTTCACTGCACTGCATGCTCAGGGGAAACAGACATACTGACAAAAGATATACCTTGAATGTTTTGTAAAGTTGCGTTGTAAAATAGCTTCCAGGAAATAAATAAATGTAAATGTATACACTCATATGGAGCTATAGCATTTATTACAGCAGTGCACACAACATTTAAATGATTGTGTCATGCAAAGACAAATTTCCCTTGCTCTTTTGAACATTAAAAGGAAAAACAAAGTATTTATATAAATAAATAAAGACCTCAAAAACTCATCCTCATTCGAACAAGACAGTCTACCACAAGTAGAAAAAACAGTTGAGAAAAGTCTGTAAGCTCTGTTATTCATTTCACATGCAAATAGGCAATTTACATACAAGTCTTAAAGGCACAGTAGAAAAAAAAATGGTCCGTTACATTCTAAAGGTCATAGAAAAACATTCATTAACATTATAAATGGACTTCAAGAAAATAAAAAAATATGTAATAAACATAACCTTGTTAATATAAAACCATTATAGCAATCCAAAACGATTGTCAGCAGGTTGCCATGCTTTTTACACTTAAAAATTGTTTCCAAAGGGGAGTTTTCACGGTGATGCTTTAAAATAACCATTTTTGGTTCCTTGAAGAACCTTTCAATGAACAGCTCTTAAAAGAAAAAAAAATTCTTAGTGCGAAGAACATTTTAAAATCCTAAAGATGCTTTTTACACTATGAAGAACCTTTTGTGCAATGGAAGTGTGCATGGATGGTTGCTAATCAAGAACCTTTATTTTTACTGTAAATGTCTGTGGGTTACAGAATTAACTTAATAAATAACTCTAAATCACATTAAATAACTTTATTGTGACCTCATCCTAATACAATGCTCATTTTGCTCTTTTGCTTAAAAAAAGTACTCTGCAGGATCTATTCACTCCCGTTCCTTTCCGAGTTCACTCTGAAAGATCTAGCCCACTTCTGCTGCAATTAGAACACGTGTCTCCATCTGCTGAGGAGAAAAGAGGCTCTGTGGCTCCTTTGACAGACACAAACTCAACAGAGCAACTAGGGCACAGACGCACTTCCACCCAGCATCAAACAGCAGCTAATCTTCTGTAAGCTCTTTTTACTCTAGTAGCTTTCTACAACCCAAATGCTTTTCGTTACCCTCTTAAAGAAGAATATTATCTGCCACTCTACCTTTTATAAGTCTCAGGACATAGCAGAGGTTTATTAAAGATAACTTTTGTGATGTCAAAAGCAAGGAGAGACTTTTAATTAAAGGAGAGGAGAGGACAGGACAGGACAGAGACAGACAGTGAGCAAGACTTGATCCGTCTTACTTTTACATACACAAACAGCAATGATGACAGCTTAGACTGTGGGATTCAACTGGTCAGTCACAACCAAAAAATGGGTCACAAGTCTGTCTTAAAAGGATCAGGGAAAAAGCAATGTCAAATGCAAATAATAAAATGCAAGTTGACCAAATTTGGCAGATGGCTGCATGGACAAGTTGTATGACCATGACCAAAACTACGCAAGGTAAAAGTAAATATGACTCATATTACATTAAAGGGATCCTATTATGCTCTTTAACAAAGTCTTGATTTTGTTTTGGGGTGTACTAGAACATGCTCTCATGCTTGGTGGTTCGAAAAACGCATTATTTTTCACATAATTTACATTATTAAAATACCTTTCTCCCCAGCCTGGCACAAACGGCTCGATTAGTTCCGGCTTTGATGAAGGTCCGCCTTCCGAAAAACAAAATGTGTTGTGATTGGTTAGCTGTCCCAGTAGAAGCGCAGCATCGCGCCGCGCCACGTCTTTAAAATTAAAATACTTTATTTTCTATGAGTGTAGGCACACCGGTGGCGCCGTTCGGCGTCTGTCCGCGGCACCGAGCTACGTCGTGTTATACATGCCGAAAATTTGACGCTACAGCACAGCAGCTCTTCTTCTTCGTTTTCTCTGATGCACTAACTCTGCAGCAGCTCTTCTTCATCGTCTCGTCTGATGCGCTCACTCAACCAAGTGTTCTAACCACAACCTCGCCCTCCCCACCCCGCAACCATTCGAATTTCTGTAGGCGGGAATTATTTGTAATGATATTCCAATGAGCCGCTTTGTGATATCACAAAGCCGGAAAACAAATGCTGTAGTCCAAACGAGCCGCTCGTTGTAGTTCTTGAAAAGGGATTTAAAAA